TTGTGAAGTAACCATCACTGAGCCAACAGTGCTATATGTACTTCATGACCCAGATTACTGAACACTGTTCATAATCCTACAGAAGCAGTTTACAAACACAGGAAAGCCAAACTAAGAACTATTTAGATGAATACACCATAAAATTTTGTCCATTTCAAGATTAGACGATCTAAAATTCATTATTTTTTTTTTACTTGGCTCATCATATAATAGATCTGATTTTATAGTGTTTTATTAAAGTTAACATGGGTTTGATACAGTAAACTTCAAGGATACAGCAGTCTAAACAATATGCAATTATAGACTAGTGGCCCAGTGCACAATATTCTGGCACTCAGCAGGGGCTCTCAGCCTGGCCTGTGCTCTCTCGCAGTCCAGGAGCCCTTGGGGGGATGTCCAACTGCCACGGAGGTGGGGAAGGATCCCACCACTTCCGCTGCACTTGCCAGCTGTGAGCCCAGCTCCTGCATTGAGCATCTGCCCCCTGGTGGTCAGTGCGCATCATAGCAACCAGTCGTTCTGTCGATTTGCATATTAGCCTTTTATTATATGGGATTTTTGCATCTGTATTCACCAGAGATATTGGGCTGTAGTTTTCTTTTTTTTTGTGTTATCTTTGCCAGGTTTTGGTATCAGGGTTATATTGGCCTCATAGAATGTGTTAAGAAGTATTGCCTTTTGCATTATCTTTGCCAGATTTTGGTATCAGGGTTATATTGGCCTCATAGAATGTGTTAGGAAGTATTGCCTCTTCCATTTTTTGGAAGAGTTTGACAATGACAGGTTCTAAATCTTCTTTGACCATTTGGTAGAATTCACTGGTGAAGCCATCTGCTCCTGGACTTTTGTTTTTGGGGGAAGATTTTGATGGTTGTTTCAATTACTTACTGCTGATTGGTCTATTCAGATTTTCCAGTTCTTCATGATTCAGTCTAGATAGGTTATATATTTCTTTTCTTGTTTATTTTTTATTGTACATTACTCCTTTATTATACTGATCTGGAAAAAAGATTTAGTAGTTATGTTTCAAAATGCTTACTGGGCCCAAGTGGCAGGGCCACGCAACTGCAACATGATTCAGAACTTAGACACAGTGAAAGACATCCCTGGACATGATCAAGAGACATTTCATTGCCATGAAACAATATAGCAGGGGAGGGATTCTAAAATACCCAGCAGGGTAACTCCTACACCTTACAAGTCAAGGAGCTCATCCCACCTTGGTGTGAAGAATGG